CTGCAGTCGGTCTTCATCTGTACCTTTCAACTCGGGGGACTGCTGGCTGACCTCTAGCACCTCTAGATGAAGTGTGCCTGTTGTATTATTTTGAACATATGGACTGGGATTCTCTTTGGTGTATAGTTTCTTTTGCAGCACAGACACTGTAAGACCTGACATGCTGTTGTACATCTTGAGTTTGGCCTTTTATATTGCTGAGTAGAATTCCATGGCATGAAGGAACCACATTTGGCTATCAATTCATTTGTTCATGGTCATTCAGGTTTTTATAACTTGGAACTGTTATGAATAGCGCTTATATGAACACTGATATGCAAATCCTGTTATTGACATGTTTTTATTTCTGTTGGAGTTGTATTGCTGAGTCATAGGGAAGCATATGTTGAATTTCATAAGAAGTTGCCAAATGCTTTTCCCAATGGTCATGGCTATTTTATATTCACAAAAATCAGTGTATAAAAGTTTCAGTTGATCCATAATCTCACTAACCAATTTTTAAACTATTCTTAGTTGACTTTGTGGATTTTCTTTGGAGCGCCCAATACTTAACCACTTTGAGTACATAAATATCTGCTTATTGGCGATTTGTGTATGCTTTTAGGGCATCTGTTCACGTCTTGTCGTATGTTTGAACAGGTTTGTTTGTGTTGTTGTGCCGTATATGGGTATTATGAATACAGGTCCTTCATAAAAGAGAGGTTGATATATTCTTACAGGCTCTTAGTTACCACTTCTTTTCTCAAGTGGGTCATTTGAAAAACAATCAGTTGTAATTTTATTAAGTTACTTATCATTTTTTTTATAGTTTGGGTTTTTTTTCCTCTAAGAAATCTTTGCCTAACCCAAGTTTACAAAGATATTTTCTTCTGGAAGCATTTTGTTTTAGCCTTGAAATTAAGATTTACAATCCATTTTTAAATTAGTTTTTCATATGGTGTAATGTAAGAATTGAGATTTAATTTTTCCACATGGATACCCCATTGTGTCAACACCATGGAAAGAATATTTTTGCCTCCATTGAATTATGTTGATGCTTCTATCAAAAATGAGCTGATCAGATGTGTGGGTCTACTTCTAAAGTCTCTTTTATTTTTTATTTACTTTTAGTTATACACGAACACAATATCTTTATTTTGTTTATTTATTTTTATGTGGTGCTGAGGATCGAACCCAGGGTCTTACACGTGCGAGGCGAGCACTCTACTGCTGAGCCACAACTCCAGCCCCTAAAGTCTCTTTTCTATTGTATTGGTTTAACATATTTCTCTTTACACCAACAAGATGCAATGTTAACATATTTCTCATATTAACATATTTCTCTTGATGCCAACAAGATGCAATGTTATAAACCGTGGCTTTAGAGGAAGTCTTCAAGTTGTGTTCTCTTTGTTCTTCCTTTTTAAAATAATTTGGGCACTCTTCCCTTGATTGCTAGTTGGATTTTGGAGTTAGCTTCTCAATGTTTGCCAGGAAAAAAGCATGTGATTGTGATTGATCCTGTAATCTTGAGACAAACTTGACAGTCTAAAGTGCTCAGCATGGTTGGTGTACATTCCCGGTTATTCAGGTCGTCTTCAATTTCTCTCTGAAATATTTCAGTGTTCTACTTTCTATTAAATTTATTCCTGAACTTGTTATGATTCACTACTGTGTTAAATTTTGTCATTGTAAGTGGTGTTTTTATTGTGGACTTGCTTTTACTCTTCTCATGTATGTCTAGACCCGCGTCTGCTTGCTGACCTGCTGCAGGAGACTGGTGAAGTCTTGGATGTTGAGAGGCCTTGCAGTCCCTGCACAGAGTGCAAGTGCTCTTGAATGACATCACTGGCACCTTCCCGGACATTGTGTGTCCCTATCCTGCCTCCCTATCCCAGTAATTCCTGTAGGGCTCTGTTGAGCAGTGGGAGCAGACTACCCAGCCTGGTATCGAAGCCTTTGGCAGTAAGATCTGATGGACGCTGAAGAGAAGAAGAGCTGGAGGATGCGCTCTTCTGTGCCTCATCATGGAAAAAAGCAGTGGATTTCATGCGGGGTTTTCTCTTCAACTCAGGTGATTAGTACCATTCATCCTTTGAGCAACTAGGTAGTGTCTTCTACTTCTGTATCTATTTATAAAGTATACCTTTCAGGGTTAATTTTTTCCCTCAACAGTCCATTTTCTTTTACTATGAAAAGACAGATACAAAGCCTTTATATTTAGCATTTCCGTTGCTCTTCATTTCTTTCTGCACCTCCCTTGTGTCTTCAGTTCTAATATACTCCTGCCTGGGTTGAAGATAAAGGTGGGATCTGAACCATAGTTCTTCAGTGTTGCCACTGCAGTCCTCATGCTGAGGCATTGTTGACCCTCCCTGTCTGCTTCTGCTCCATGTGTTCCTGATAGCCTCTGCTTTTAGGTTGTGTGGTTTTCTTGAGAAAGTTCACCTTCACTCAGATCTCCTCTGTCTCTCCCTTTCTCTGGCCTTGCCTGTGGTTTCATTTCCTCTCTGGCTGGAACAGTACCTCCCAGTGACAGGAATGCATGATGCTGTTTTGGTTTCTGCTGCTCCCAAAATCCCTGTGACAAATCCCAGGGAATGTGGAGCCAGAATCTCTGCAGCACTTCCACTAGCATGGGTCTGGCCAACATGGTCTTCCTAGGCACACCTCGTGAGAGTTCTCCCTGCCCTCCAGCAATGGGTGTTTCTGTAGGCCTCTCCTCTTCAGCTCTCCACAACATGGCAGGAAATAGGCTTTCCAGTGGCCCATGTGGGATGTCAGCTCTCGTGGCAACTCAGGGATGCCATGGGCCTTTTCTCTGCATCTTTTGTATTCCACCAGGTCTCTAGCTGGACAATGGGGACCAGTTTCCAGGGTGTGGTACTTTCTTCTTTGTGGTGAGTTTCTTGGAACTCTACTCTGTCCATAAAAATTCTGGAGGTGAGGGAATTACCTCTTGGGAAAGGACTGGAAAGAAATTGCTTCCTGCTGAACAAACAATCCTCCCCACCCCACAATTGCTCTTGTTCCCTTTCCCCAATAATCTTTTTACATAGCTTGCTTGTTGTGTGGTGATGGTGGTTGGCAGGGCCTGTTTGGCTGGTGGCCAGCTGTCTTTATGTGGCTTAGATTGGCATATAACTGACTGTTATTTTCGGATGTAGCTCCAAGGCAACAGTGAAAATCTCACTCAGTATCTTATTGTGTAACCAACAGTCCAACTCTGCCTTCTCCTGCAGCTGTCCAAATATGAGCACAAAGTTGGTGGGATTCACTCTGCCTGATGCTGCTTTCAGGACCTTGAAGAGGCGAGAAGCTCTGAAGTGTGCTGCACGTGGGTAGCAGCCTGGGGGTTGCAGTGTGGTATGCAATGGTGCAGAATAATCACAGGCAGCACTCCCTGTACTCACTGTGCAGAATGTGCACAAGCATAGCAGAGAAAATGGTGCTTTCTTTGGGGGCCAAATGTGGTATCCAGGAAGGAGGATGAGTGGGGGGAGGGAAGCATGGCAAAAGGGGAGGGCGAGGTGGACAGGACCTGGGGGAGGGGGCCTGTGCACACAGGGAGCCACTCCTCATTCTTGGCTCCCATGGACACAGCTAGGACAAGCCACGTGGCCCCTCTAGGGGAGGGCTTGAGGCTGGCAGGCTTCCTGCACTCTCAGAGCCTCTCTTCCAGGGTTGGTGCCCATGGCCCCAGGATCCAGATGGGGTGGGGGGATACAGGAGGGAGGGAGAGAGCTTTCCAGTGCACCAAGCACTGCCCACAGACCTCTCCAGTGCTCCCTTGCCCCTACCCACACCAGGCTGTCAGTTCAGAGCATAAAGCAAATTTGTTAATCCAGAGTGCGTCTGACAGAGCGAAAGCAGCAAGCACTCTTCTCGCGGTAAGAACCCTGCCTTTGTAGGTAAGTGCTGCTCACCATGTGTGTCACTAAAGGTTTAATCTTCACTTTAGACTCTAAATCAAGCTGACCTATAGCAGAGTCTTAGATTGAGCTGCTTTGTGCCTGACCTCATCTCCCTTTTAATGCTAACCTTCTTCCTGTAGTTTTCCCACCAAAGCCTTATTGATAGCAATTCATTTATGTTCTGTACACATGTCCTCCTCTGAGCTCTGAGTTAAGTTTTTCAAAGATCTCTAAGGAAAGGAAAGACATATCCTGGCCTATTAGTGCCACTGAGTTTGGCTGAGGTGAAGTTAGTGCAGATTTGGGCATCAGGGTGCATGAAGGGTGGAAAGAACCTACAGTCTGAGAAGATGGGTGAGGGTGGAAGAGGAACTCATGCCCCAAGTGACTCCCCAGTTCCACCTGAATTGCTTATTGTTTATGCTGTTCTATTTTGCAATTATAGATCCACTTTGCCACTCTTTGAGATGTCGATTGTTCAGATTTTACATGAGTGGAGAATCTTAAAGTTACTTGAGAGTAGGAACTGTCTTACAACTGCCCTCAGCTCTCAAGAGGGCAACTGGTCCCCTGCAGAACCACAGACTGAAGGAGCGTGTGTGTGAGTGAATGAGCTGAGGGCCAGCATGTCTGAGCCTAGGTGCTCAGATGTCTTCAGGTCTCTGAGAAAGCTCTTTGGGAGTAGGAATCTTTAGAGAAGAGTAGAAGGGTTTCTTGTTCTGGGTGAATAATGTCTTGTATATGTAGAAAGCTTCTATCCACATACTCTCTCCCCGCTGCAAAAAAAGTTGTTCATATTTCTCAATTGATCTTTACACAGAGCAATTTGATTTGGGCCATGTAGGGAGCCCTCTATCTATCATTGTTTTTCAGGCAAGGAGGCCAAGGATGGGGAAATGACCTGATCTCCCACCCCCATCTTTCTAGATTCTGGAAACTCCCACTCTAGGCAGTGTTTTCTGACAATGTGGCCTGACCTGACTGGGCAGCTGTGTTTCAGAAGCACACAGGCGTCAGTGCCGCCTGACCAAACAGCAGGCCCTGCTCTGTCAGACTGATTGCAGTACATGGAAGGACCTTGTTTATTGTCTCTAGACAGTGAGGAGAATGGAGAGGAGTACAGTCAGGGGATCACTGCATAAGCACTTGGATCTGGAGAGGAAGATCGCCAAGCAGGCTGAAGCCAGACTCCGCCAACAACTGCAGAGTCTAGAGGATATCTGCCTCTACCACCTGAAGTTGTTGACCAGGGAGCAGAGGCAGCTCCAGAGAGAGCAGCAGAGGCTGCAGCAAGGTGAGGCTTCCTGGCAGTGTGGGCTGCTATAGGCAACACCAGGGTTCTTCTGAGGGAAGAGTGATGCTCTCACTGCTTGGCAGCCATTTGGGGCCCTGGACCCAGGACAGCAAGCGCTTCCGATCCTGGTCAGGGCTTTCACATCCCTCTGCCTTCCCTAGTCCCACAACTGTACTGAACGGCCCACTCAGAAACCTTGATGTCCAGTTGCTGTCCATCTCCAGTTTTCTCTCTCTTGCCAGAACTCCTAGCTCTCCACTGTCTCAAGCAGCTTCACCTTCTGCTTTTCTCCCGCTCATCTGAGCTGGTTTGGTTTCACCTCTCTTGGTGTCTCTTCTTTCATATTTGAGCTAACAATTTTGATTGAGCAGCTACTAAGGTTGAAGTCCCAGTACCAGTCCCATTTATAAAGGAAGAATAAAGTAGTTTGGAATTGTGACCTCAGTTTCCTCAAACATGCCATGGAAGTGATTCTGCCTAACTTGTGAAGCTATTCGAGGATTTGGTGAGCACTTGGAACACATCTAGACACAAAGCCAGTGCTGGGGAATCACTTCTTCTCACGAAATAGTACAGATTCATTACAGAACTGAAACTCTCCTGCTATATTGTTGAACATTGTTACAGTTATAGAGTTTGTAGAAACTAGTTCTCCTTCATTCATCATTAAAATAATTAGATTTTAATATTGCTTCAAAATTTAGCATAGAACAGATGAATCCAGCTCTTCAGGAGAGCCTTCTTGTCAAATGCAGGTGCCAAAACCCAGAGGCACAGAAGAAAGCAGTTGCACACAGAGTAGAAAGTCCTCAGGTCTGCATAGTTTAACGTAGTCATGGAAGCCAAGAGCAGGTCCAGACATCGTGCCTGGAATTGTTTCTAAGCTCCAATTGTTTTAAGCTACATATAATCACTTCTAGTCTCCTTGGGATTGAAGGGTGACTCTGAGCAAGCAGTGGAGCTTTTTTTTTCTGTGTCTTCAGCGAATGGCTAAACTACCTAGAACAAGAGCAGGGCCCAGGAAATGCCCTTGAGGACACTGGTTGATTTCCACTGTGATCTCTAGAGGCTATGGTGACCCAGTGGCCATTCTCAGGAGGATGCCTTGCTGTGCAGTTGCCTCAGCTGCAGGTGTCTGGTAGAGTATGGACCAGGAGGTAGAGGGCCCCGATACCAGGCCCCATCTCCATGTTCTTTGGAAGGTCATACTCTCTCTCAACTAAGAACAGTCGAAAGGGGTAAAGGGAAGAAGAGACATGCTTTGTCTTGGTGCTTTTCAGACACTAGTTAGCAGTGTTCTTCCGTGGTCATTTAACACTCTGTGCCACTGGTGGCTTGTTTAAGATGCACATCACCAGGTGCCTCAGAGATTTGAATTAACCGGCTGGAAATTTAAGCTCAAACATCCAGTTTTTTTATGGATACCAAGGCAGATTGTTCTGGGTAAGGTGTTTCACAGATCACCTTTACAAAACACTATTATGGTTACTCGGAAGCTGGAATGGAAAAACGTGGTTTTTGCTCCTGAGATGTTCATATTTAGATTGGAAATTAGCTGTGCTTACAAAAAATCAGAATGCTAACTGCTAAATTAGAATTACTTACAAAGTTGGGCAGGAGCATTGGAAGCTCCTGATGTCTGTCAAGGGCCCTCAGGAAGCTCTCCTAAAATAGGTGGTGTGTGAGCAGAGCCTGGAGGAGAAGGGATGAGGGGGATAGGGCACTTGTCAGGAGGGCAGGAAGGGCCAACCCTTGCAGAAACCTGCAGTCTGCATGAGATGCTAAGTGAGCGCAGCTTGCACAGTGCCGCAGTAGGGTAGCTGCAGGAGGCATGTGCGGCTTGCTGGAGGCAATGCAGGACAGCCAGCATCTCCAGTCACAGACAGCTCCACAGGTCTTGCAACAGAGGCTTCCCCTGCAGGGCTGGGAGTGGGGAGATCACCTGCTCATATGTTGGGGCTCACTCTGCCACCGGGTGAAGTCAGAGCAGATCTGATACAATTCCAGAGTGCAGGCATGACCTGAGGGCTGAACTCAGGCACTGGTCAGGGGAAGAAAATGAGGCCAGCCTCCCAAGGTATTTAGCAAATAGAGTTGTGAGAGGTTTATGATTAATATCCTGTCCAAGGAACCAAGATGCAGACTCGTGGACTGGCTGGCTGGATGTGAGGAGGATGCAGGGTCTGCCTCCACAGAGAGTGTGCTGGGGAGATTCTCTACAACATGTTGCAGAGAATCAATAAGCTCTTTCCTGGACCTGCCAGCCCAACAGATCTGAGCTGCAGACATGTGGCTTGGCAGGAGGAGCAGCTCCCCATTCCCTAGTTTACAGGGAACAGGTGAGTTCCCCAAGGAGACTGCCAAAGAAGAGTGGCCCACAAAGGACTATCTCTTGTCCCAACTGCTTCACAAAGAAGTGATCAGATTGCAGAGATTAGAAGTTTAATGTGAATTCTTCATCCCCACCTGTACCTGCCGACCACTGTTCTGCCTGTGTGTGTTCTGTCTTCATTTCTTGTGGCATGGGGATCAAACTCAGAATTTTGCATAGGCAAGGAAAGCACTCTGCCACTGAGCTGTGTGCTCAGTGCTAACCGCTGCCCTCAGGGGACTCACTCTCTTTAAAGCATATTATTCCAAGACTCTCATCCTCAAGTGACCAGCTTGTAAGATGTCTTGAGAACTTGGTGGTCCCCTGTGGCAGTTAGACCATAGGTGAAGAGATATCCCCTCAGCCAGTGGAGTCCCCTTGATCATGGCTGGCAGCTGCAAACTCCTGCCATCGGTGCACAGGTCACATAATTGCAGTGAATGAGACAAAAAGCTCACACCAGTTATTTTGTCTTTGAAAACACTGTGCTTGCCAAGTAAACTTCCATGGGCCTGGGCTGTTTAAACTCTGTTCTTGATGTTTATAAATCCTCTCCAACATGGTGTGTATAAACACTGAGAGCTGCACAGAAGTTTTCTGTTTCCTTGGTTGTGCCAGATCAGCCTGGTATGTAATGGGAAAATGCCACACACTGGAGCCTGGTTCCCAGAATTTCTTCTCTTATTATTTGTTCTCCAGGGCTCCCTGACAAAGCACAGCAAGTCAGGTGACTTAACAGAAACTTCATGATCTCTTGACTCAGGAGTCTAGGAGCCAAAAGCAAAGTGTGGGGGTGGGGCTGCCCCTTGCACAGGTGGGTACTGGAGAGAAGGGCTGTGACCTCTCCAGCAGGTGGGGGAGCTGTCCTCTCCCCATGTGTTTCACTGGGTGCCCTCCTGTGTCCCATGTGTCTCAGTTCAAATGAGGACACATTCCTAATGGATCAGGACCCACCCTAAAGGCCTTGCTTTATTGGAAAGAGCCTGAGGGGTGAAGCACTGGGGCTGGGACCACAACATGCCAAGTTATGGAGCATAATTTCTCCCGTAAACTTTTTCATTAACTCAAGGCAGATATTGTCAAGGTGAGATTGTCTTCTCTTGGGAATGGAACTCAGAAAAGGCCAGAATGTGTCCTCAGTTTCCCACCACAGCAAGGACAGAAGCACAGACCTCCAAAACATGAAGTCAGGTAAGAAGGTACTCATTAAATGCATGAGTGTGACCCTGAATTCCTCATCTCCTGAGTCGGTGAAATGTGCTTCTTTCCCCGAGGAAATGCTGCTTTCCTCTGCTGAGACAGACATGTCAGCTCACCAGAGCCTCTATTCTCACCTGCTTCCACTCCCACACTCCCATGACTCAGGAGACTCCACACTGATGGAGCTGCCATACAGTGACCCAGAAGTCTAAATGTGAGTCTCTTCTCAGTTTCCAGAGATTTTTCTTCTTCTTACCTCTCTTCCCAGAGCATTGGCAACCAACACGACCCAGGAAATGTACAAAATCAAGTCCCAGATGCCTCCTTTGTGTCACACTGGCCTCAAAAACCCCACCAGGAGAAAAGAGAACTGGCGATCTCAGAGTCACAGAACTGCCTGCTTCATGGCAGAAAAGCTGCCAGCCCAGGAGAAAGAGTCTGTAATCCCACCTCAGGGCATAGACCCCAACAAGGGCACCTCTGTGGCACATCAAGACCAAATGGCTTCCAGCAGTACCTGTGGTAGTGGAATGGTCAACCTTGATGAGATTAGATCAAAAGATGCCAATCTAAAGCCATGTAGGAATGCTGTGGAACAATTTCCCCCACATTCCATGGAATGTGTAGGAGGCTGCAAAGGTGAGACCACAAAGCCAGCCTTCTCAGAATTGCTTGCAGAGGTCAAAAATGCACGCTATCTCCGGCACAGGGTCCTCCCTCAGTCTGAGAGGTTGCTTAGCATCAGGGAGATATTCGGGTGTAGAAAATCTTCACCTGCAGATCAAGAAAGGATTGTGAAAATGGTACCATCTAAGTTCCCTCCTCTCTAGCTAATTTGTATAACCTGCTCATGGCGTGTATCAGAACCACTAGAGAATGTGCTCCTTAAGTGAAGCAATGGGGAGCACTTGTATTTCTAATCTGTTGACTTCATTTAGAGCATTGTGATCTTTCAATGAACCACACTAGTGAATGGATAACACATAGAGGAAAGAATCTTCTGAAAATACTTGAATAATTAGCATGCCCTTCTAATGTCAACTAAAATGTAAATATATGTTGATATTGAGGGAGAAAGAGTGATTTCTACTTTCATTGCCTCTCATTCCTAGGGGAGGTTATTGTGGCACCACCTGCTGGAAGAGGCGTAGTCCTCCCTTGTTTTATGGTAGATGGTGGCAGGATAGGGGCACCACTGAGAATGTGTACCATATGGTCTATAAATAAAACTTGTTTCAACTTTGTGCTTTTTTTGTACTGGGGATTTTTTTTTTTTTTTTTGTACTTTGTGCTTTTTTTGAACTCAGGGGCACTCAACCACTGAGCCACATCCCCAGCCCTATTTTGTATTTTTATTTAGAGACAGGGTCTCACTGAATTGCTAAGTGCCTTGCCATTGCAGAAGATGGCTCTGAACTTGGGATCCTCCTGTCTCATCCTCCCGAGTGGCTGGGATTACAGTCGTGTACCCCCATGCCCAGCTTGTGCTCATTTTTGAGGTACTGTCCTTCCTCCCTTCCCTTCTTCCTTACTTTTCTGGTAGGTCCATTTTTTTTTTCTTTTTTCCTCTTTCAAAGATGTTACATAATCTCTTCCTTTTCTGTGCTCTAGAATCAAAAGATTTCAAAACTTTTTATTCATTTCTCAGCCCAATATCAAATACTCAAGAGAATCTATCAAGAATCATCTCACCACAAAATAAAAGTTACCAACCACTTTAAAAAGTTATTATTTTTGGATGGAACTGGAGACTATCATGCTAAGTGAAATAAGCCAATCTCAAAAACAAAAAGGCTGTATGTTCTCTCTGATATGCGGATGCTAACACACAATAAGTGGTGGTGCGGGGAGGGTAGGATAGAAAATTATTGGATTAGACAAAGGGAATGAAGGGAAGGAAAAGGGATGAGAATAGGAAAAACAGCAGAATGAATCAAACAGAACTTTCCTATGTTCATATATGAATGTATGACCAGTATAATTCCAAATAATGTACAACCACAAGAATGAGATCCTAATTAGAATAAGCTATACTCTATGTATGTATAATATGTCAAAATACACTCTACTGTCATGTATATCTAAAAAGAACAAATAAAAAATGGCAAAAAAAGAGAAATAAGATAGAGCATTTTATTTGCCAACTATTCCATACTGTGGCACATACAACAAATAAAAAATATTTGTGTGGCATAAAGAAGGATTATTGTTTCATGCAGGTTTCTGTGGCTTGGGTTCTTTTATAAACGAATCTAGTGGACATTGCTGAAAGTCATCAGCTTTTCATTGCTGTGACCAAAGTATCTGACAAGAACAACTTACAGGAGGAAGAATTTAGTTTGGGCTCATGGATTCAGAGTTTCAGTTCATGGTTAGCCGACTCCATCAATATTTGTATTTGTGTTGGTTACAAGAAGAACCTTGTGTGTGGGATTGTAGGTCAGGGGTAGAGTGGTACCTGGCATGCGTGAGGACCTGGGCTCAATCCCATGCACTATGAAGTAAAACAAAGAAGTAAAACGCAGACTTGAAGAGCTACAGTATAAATTAACCACCTTTGTCAATAAGTAGGTGACAAGTAAAGGAAGACTTAAGATATATTAACCAAATGCAATAAATGCCCCTAATTTGAACCCAATTTGTGTCTAACTATAAAATTTATTTGAAGTAGCTAGAGAGATCTGTGTATTAATTAATTGGGTATTAGATATTAAAGAATTATGATTATTTTAAATTGTGGCTGTATTAAGGACTTCTTTCTGATACATGACTACAGTATTTTAGAAGAAACCTGATAATGCTGGGGTTTGCTAAGTGAGTCTATTCCCAGTGGGGTGGGCCATCTGGCAAGTACCACAATGGTGATGGCTGCATGGGCAGTTTCTTGGCTGCAGTACCCATGATCCCTGGGGTACTAGGGCCAGCATGTGGCTTGCAGCTCCTAGGGGCCATACACTGAGGGTCATGTGGGCAGAATGCTGGATGGCATTACCCAGAATCCTCTGGGGCCCACAGTTCCCAAGAGCCTCTGGTGAGAACTGCTTAGGCAGACCACTACTGCCCAGAATTAATGGGGGCTCCTGGCAACCGTGTGGCCTGCAGTTACCAGAGGCCTTTGTGTAGGATTCTTGGCTGGGCAGGCAGTCTCTGGGATAGATATGCTACTCTGAATTCTCAGTGTACCAGAGGCCTTTGTAGAGAATACTTGGCTGGGCAGGCAGTTGTGGGATGTACTACGCAGAATCCTCAGTGTACCAGGGCAAGCACACAGGCCAAAGCTTCCAGGCCCCTTCTTGGTGGTGCTAAGCGGCAGAATCCTGGACTACACTGCCCAGAGTCCCCAGGATGGTTTGTGAGAATGCAGCAAGCAGCTCCCAGGAGAGTCTGGGGTGAGAGCTGAAAAGGGCAGAATACCCTGCACTACCTAGAATCTTCTGGGCCTGCCGTTACCAGAGCCTTCAGTGGGGGCAGCATAGGTCAAATTATAGACTGCTTTAGCTCTGGAAATCCTCTGCAGTGAGTGGGCAAAACACTTGGCCACATGACTCACAACCCTCAGAGGCTGTAGCTCTAAGGATCCTCTGTGGTAAGAACAGTAGAGCAGAGACCTTAACTATACTACCCAGAATCATTGGAAGGTGCTGTTGTCTAGGTGAGTGTGCAGCCTGCAACTCCTGGAGACCTCACAGTGAGGGTTGTGCAGGCAGAAAGCCAGATTATACTATCCAGAATCCCTTGGGGCCTGGTGCACCCAGACACCTCCCTATTGAGGGCTGCATAAACAAGCTTTGTATTGAGTACCTAGATTTATCTGGGGTGTCCAGGAAGATCACAGGAGCTTTGATGGTGAGGTCTACTTAGGTAAGATGGACTGCATTGCCCAGAATAATCAATGGCCCACATCTCTCAGAGACCTCTGAGGTCAGGGCTGCCTCAGTAGAATGGACTACAATATCCAGAATTCCTGGGGCTCAGAGCTCCAAGGTGTCACTATAGTGTAGTCTGCACCAACATAGCACCATACTACAATGTCCCTGATCCTTGAAGCCTTGCGGCTCCCCGAAACCTGTGTAGTGAGAGCTGCATGAGCAGAACACCAGAATACACTTCCCAGAAAACCCAGGGGCTTCCCTGTGATGAGGTAGCTTGCAGCTCCCAGGGGCTCTACAATGGGGGCTGTAATGTGGAATATTGGATTACACTAGGCAGAGTCCTGGGGGTATGTGCTACTTGCAGCATCCATAAGCTTCTGGGGTGAGGGATACATGGGAAAAACATGTCACAACACTGCCAGGGTCCTCCAGGGTGCTCGTACCGGCATGTGGCATAAGCTCTCAGGTCATCTGTGGCAAGGGCTAAATGGCCAGAAGAGCAGATTACACTGCAGGGTCCTCCAGGGTTCCTGGACCAGCACATGGCACACAGCCCCCATGGTCCTCTGTGACAGGGCAGTGTGGGCAGAATAGCAGATGACACATTCAGGGTGCCTGGACCAGCATGTGGTACACAGCCCCCATGGTCCTCTGTGACAAGGGCAGTGTGGGTAGAACACCAGATTACACAGTCAAGAATCCCTGGGAATTCTGAATGAACGTGTAGCCTGCAGATCCCAGAGGCATCCACAATGAGAACTGAATTATCTAGAAGGAATTATCTAAAATGCTCCAGGGCACGGGGATAAAGCTGATGTTCCCAGAGGCCACCAGGAGGTTTGATCTGAAGTCAGGCTCTCCTCACCTCGACAGAGGCCACCATTGACTTGGATATAACTTATTTTTTTTTTGCACCAGGTATTGAACACAGGGATGCTTAACAACTGAGCCACACCCTTTTATTTTTTATTTTGAGACAGGGTCTTGCTACGTTGCTCACTAAATTGCTGAGTCTAGCCTTGAACTTGCAATCCTCTTGCCTTAGTCTCCAGAGCCACTGGGATTACAAGTGTGTGCCACCACATCCAGCCATAACTTTTTTCCTTAAAAATCATGATCCTCAAATTGGGCAGCCTGTTGCCAAGTCACTCTGTCTCAAAGACCACACTGCCCAGAGACCTCTGCAGTGGCTTGTTTCTGGTGTTCTGCTTTTGGGTGCATGAGTGAAGTGTCTGGGGGACTCCTGCAGCTGCCAATGTCTGCCCACCTGGCCCCTGGCTGCAGCAGCACTTGGCCTGGTGGAGCACAGGGCTGTGGTGCAGGTGTTAGTAGTAGCTAGAGATGAGCAGTGAAATGCAGGCAAGGTCACAAGTGTTCTTTAAATTACTTTAGGGTCTTCTTTAAACTACTTCCAAAGTAGATGAGAATGCAAAGGGTGGTAGTTGATTTGTAGAAAATAAACAGAAGCAAAGGAGCTAATGGGAAGACACATCAAGAAAGAAGGATTAAAAATCATGGCGTTTGCAGGTAAATGGTTGGAATTAGAGAAGATAATGCTAAGTGAAGTTAGCCAATCCCCAAAAGCCAAATGCCAAATGTTTTCTTTGATATAAGGAGGTTGATTTATAGTGGGATAGGGAGCAGGAGAATGGGAGGAATAGACGAACTCTAGATAGGGCAGAGGGGTGGGAGGTGAAGGGAGAGGACATGGGGTAATTAATGATAGTGGAATGTAATGATCATTATTATCCAAAGTACAGGTATGAAGACATAAATTTGTGTGAATATACTATGTTTACAACTAGAGATATGAAAAAATATATGTAATAGGAATTGTAATGCATTCCATTGTCATATATAAATAAAAAAAATAAAAATAAATAAAAAAGAAAGGATTAATGGGACTAGCTCTTGACAGGGTCCACTGAGGTTGGTGTGAAGCTAGAAATTATGGCTAAAGTTGTATCCATTTGTGTGGGAAGGAAGTTTCCTTTAGTAGCTCAGGCGCACTAAGGTAACTTCTGACCAGCGATTGACCCCAGTGCTCACATTAACATGGGACTGACCTGTAGATGAGGCTCCCTAAATAGGATGGGCATCGTAACTGTTCTGAAGAGGACCAGCTAAGGTCAAAAACTCCACCGCCCAGAATGAAGGAGGAGTTGAACACCTGATTGGCAGAGTACAGAAGGTGGTCCCCAGTTCTCCTAGTAAATATCAAACAGTAATGAAATTTGTGGACAGCATTTTCGCCTTTGTCATTCTCTGCCTGGAGACGTCCACTCTCCCCCTTGAGAGTACTATTGCTTAAGCCTCACTTTTCTTTTACTTTATTTTCACCTCACTTTCACTTCTAAGAAAGGTCTCTTGCATGACTTTTGGGGTCTGACTTTATTCATTGGA